TGAATGAATAATGAGTGAAAATTTTGGATCCAAGCTTGGCTTCCTGTGACTTTACTGTGTCACTTTGGGTCAGTAATTGCTCCTCTCCAAGCCTTAGTTTACCCAGCTGGAAAATGAAGGGGCTGAACTGATGGTCTCTGAGGGCCCTTTCAGCTTGAAGTTGGAGGATTCTGGAGAGCAGGTGGAACTGTCCCTATGGGGCCCACAGGTGCTGGGCGTGGAGAATGGCCACAGAGCAGGGGGTCCAGAGAACTGGGCTCTGCTGATCCTTCCTACCTTCCTCCATGGCTGTCTTAGGTAAGCTGAGGCACAGGCAGTGGGTGGGTTTGTGTGTGTTGGAAAGGGGGTTCCCCCAGAATGGAAGAGCCCACAACTGGTGTCACAGGAACAGCCTCAGAACCCACTCTGACTGGTCACAAGGCCTAAGGCAGGTGACTTCCATGGCTCGATGGTGCCAAGGCTTACCTGGGCCCAAGTAGCTCATTCTCATGTGCATTAAATAACTTCCCCAGCCAGAGTTAGTCCCTTCACCACCCTCCTTCCCCACCAGTCCATAATAATCATGCTGGGGTCTCAAACTAAAGGCCCAAGGGCTAGGGCTAGATTAGAGATGGGTTTTGTTTGTTCTTAAAACAGTGTTCTGTTTTTTTTTTTTTGTCTTTTTTCGTGACCAGCAACGGATTGCAACCCGCAGTGTCGCGCTCGTACCGGACCGGGACCGGCAACGGGATCGCAACCCTCGGTGTTGCGCCCATACTGGACCGGGACCGGCAACGGGATCGCAACCCTCAGTGTCGCGCTCGTACCGGACCGGGACCGGCAACGGGATCGCAACCCTCGGTGTTGCGCCCGCACCTCGCTCAGCCAGTGAGCGGGAACCGGTCTGCATGTGGGATCCGAACCCTCGGCGGGAGCGCCGCCACGCTCCCAAGCGGCACACTGTAGCAGTGCACCACCGGGCCGGCCCCAACAGTGTTCTGTTTTTAAGAAATGTTGATTTCAGTGCATTAGCCAAAGCAAGCTCTACTCCCTTTGCCACAGTTGCCACCCCTCCCTACTGTCTCACACACGGCAGCTGCAAACATGTGTATTATCTGCCTGGCCCCTGAAGGCATCTGAATTTGGAAACTGATCTGCTCAACACCCCATTTTGTGAATAGAGAGACTTGGGGGCAGGGGGCACCTAGGTTAATGGGATCCTAGATTTTCTGAGGTTAGAAGAGCCCTTGAGATCAGCAAGGTTTTGAGATCTCTGTTTCAAAATCACTTCTTCAGACAGGTTTTGTCTGGTCACCCTATTTAAAACAGCACCCCCATCCACCCTCCCCCATTTTCTCATCTGTCCTCATCACTTCCTGACATCATAGTCTCTATCCTGCCAGTTTCTTACCTGTCTCTCTCGCTACTCTGCATACCCCAAGAGGGCAGGGGCTTGGTTTGTCTTATTCACGGTTGAATCCCAAAGGCCAAGAATAAGGCCTGGCACATGGCAGGTGCTCCAAAGAATTGTTGAAGAAGGGGGAAAATGAAGCCCAAGATATTGTAGCCCCAGCACCAGACGCCCTGCCTCCTACAGTTTCCCTGGGTTGTTTTAGGGACATGCTGGAGTTGAGTCCCACAGTCACTGGGCAGCTGGGCACCGGTCCCCTGCACGGGGCTGTGTTTCAGGCTAGCTGGGGTGGGCCTCCCAGTCGTATGTTCGACCTGCCAAAGGGGAGAGGGGCAGTGATGTCATACAGCTCCCCCACCCCATCCTCCCAAATCTGACCGAATCCCAAGTTCAAACAGACCACAGCATGGGCGTGCAGGATGTGCCCTATGCTGGTTGTGGCAGGGCAGGGACTCAGGCAGGTCACGGTGACTTTAAAGAAATATTCTTGGTGCTGAAAAAAAGAGGTGGGAGGCAGGAGAGAACAGCAGAGGGGTGGACAGAGAGGTGGAGGGGAGGAAACGCATCTTGTTTTTTCTCAGATAATAAGGGTGACTTTGTTTTTTCCAATAGTAAAAATATTGTTTGCTCTCGAAAGCTATTTAAACAATAACACCCAAGTATGAGGAAGAAGGTGAAAAAGACCTGTGTCCTACCTCCCAGGGATCTAGGCGACAGCAAGGTCACCTAGGGTCGCCGAGGGGCCTGGGCTTGGATCCTAACTGGACCAATTTCTAGCCCCGAACCTTGGGAGGGTCCCTTGTCTTCTCTGTGCCTCAGTTTCTTCAACTATAAAATGAGGTGTACCAATCCTCCCCTCGGCCTCTCTGCCCACCCCTCTGCTATTCCCTCTGCCTCCCTGCCTCTTTCCTCCAGCTCCGAGAGCATTTCTTTGAAGATGCCATGACCTGCCCGGGCCCCTGCCTTGCCCACAACCCACAAAGGGCACGTCCTGCACACTCATGTGGTCTGTTTGAACTTGGGATTCCAGGCTTGATCGGTACCCACCACCTGGTATTGTTGTGAGGATTAAACAAATGAATATATGGGAGGGTCTTAGAGCAGTGACCGGCACGTGACGAGGGCCGTGTACGTGTTCGCTAGCATCGTCGTCATCGTCGTCATCGTCGTCCCATCACCATCATCTTTGCAACAGCTCTTTATGCACCTACCTGTTTTCCTTCCTTCCTCCTTGCCATCACTCTGCCCATCCATCCATGTGTTCACCCATCCATCCATCCATTTAATCTTCTCTAATGGGAACACACCCATGTGCTTTTTACGCCGCATGTTACATTCCATATGAAATAGACATGTTTGTGTCGATAAATGTTGTTTAAAAAAAATGGCTCGGGTCCTGATTACTCGGGGTTTCGGGTGGGGGTGATGGAAAACCATCCCTAAAGGGCTGTTTGCTGGGTTCTGTATCCATGGGGTAAACCTAGACTTTGTCTTAGTGCCTTTAGGTGTAATGAACTTTGCAGATCATTCCCAAAAGATCTTCAAAATCAAAAGTAGCCAAATAAATGTTTATGCTATTTTTTATATGGCCTGTTTCCCTAGCCAGGCTGTGGGTTCCTGGAGTCAGGGACCAAGCGTTCCCCACCCCTCCTGTCCGACCGGCGTTTCCCCAGGCAAGGGGTGTCACCTCTGTCTTTGCTGCCCTCCCACCCCAGCCCTGTGGACGGGGCAGTTCTGGTCTGTGCGTCCTTGTTCCAGTGTGCACAGCAGCTGCCTGCAGCAGCTCAGGAGAGTTGTCCTGTGATTCCAGGGAGCTGCCCATTGTGAGGGGAAAGGTCACCTTGCAATTCGCCATCTCTACTCAAAGGTCTAGAGACATCTCATCAGACAACAAGTTCAGCACAGAATGGCCGACCCCCTGCCCAGCTCGCTCACCCCCAGCCTTCCCCATCTCTCTGATGCCAACTCTCTCCTTCTGGTTGCTCGGCCCCAAAACACTCCGGTTATCCCTGAGCATTCTTTCTCACACCCGCATCCAATTCATCAGCAAATCTTGTCAGCTCTATGTTCAAGATACATTCTGAGGCCACCACGCCCACCACCCTCACTGTCACCCCTGGGACCAAGCCGCCATCATCTCCTGCCTGGGTGATGGGAAGAGCCTTGCAGCACCGTTTAACGTTATGCACGTTTTACTTAACTTTGCTTATTGTCCATCTCCCCTGGGATATAAATGTCATCAGAGCAGGGATCATGGTCTGTTTTGTTCATAGTTGTATCGCCACTGCCTAAAGGAGTGCCTAACACATAGGAGCTGCTCAAGAAACACTTGTCAAATGAATAAAAGAAATGCACAAACATCCTCAGGTCAGGTTGGAGCCGGAACTTGCAGTCCTGAGCTGAAAGGAGAGGGATGTTCAGAAACAAATCAGCGCTCTCCAGCCCATTGCTCTGAGCACCTTTTTAAGTTCTCTTTCCTTTGGCTGGCCAATGATGCTCACATAGAGTGGCTTCTGCCATCGCTGGAGTCTGAGCACAAGGGCATAACTTCACTTGTTGTGGGGTGGTATAGTGTGCCGAGTCCAGTGGACCTGCATGCAGCTTACAGCTCTACCACTTGCCTGCAGCGAGACCTGCAGCCATGGTTTTCTTACTTGCAAGATGAGCACACGAGTAATAGTTGCTAGCATTTTTTTTTCCTTTTTGTCTTTTTTCGTGACCGGCAACGGGATCGCAACCCTCAGTGTCGTGCCCACACCGCGCTCAACCAGTGAGCGGACCGGTCTCTATATGGGATCCGAACCCTCGGCGGGAGCGCCGCTGCGCTCCCAAGCGCCGCACTCTACCGAGTGCGCCACCGGGCCGGCCTAGTTGCTAGCATTTTTTTTAGTAAATGCTAGGCACCAGGTGCTGAGCTAAACCTCTACACATAGCTCATGTCATCCCCACATCAACCCAATGGAACGGGTACTATCGTGACAGCTGCCATCTTGCACACGGGGAAATGGAGCTACAGGGAAATAATTTAACAACGACCATAAGTGGTGAGAAGCAGAGCCAGGATTTGAACCCAGGCAGTCTGACCCCACTGTGCTTTAGATGCCACCTGATCTCTGAGCACATAAGATTTGCAAACTGCTTAGCTGGCACCTGGCTCATAGTCAGCGCTCAGAAACACTGACTTTGTTACCGTATGGGTTCAGGCACCAAGAGTCTGGGGACAGGGGTAGACTGGAAGAGGGGAGGGCAGGGGCTGCTGGGGAGTTCTGTAGTGTCTCCTGTTGGCAGGTGAGTCCTACTCCACCAAGGCCCCCAGCTGAATGTCCCCTTCCCTATTTCCCAGAGGGACCTCAGGCGCCTCCTTCCCTGGCCTCCTAGATTGACAGTCCCATCTGAGAAGGACTGGGCGTGGAGCCAGGAGGTGGGGACCAGGCTCAGGCAGGCTAATCAGGTTGCGGGATGAAATTAAAAGGGAGGAGGACAGCATCAGCCCATCAGAATTCGTGCTCCTTCCTGGCGACAAAGTGCCCAGGAGAGGAGCTGGGGAGCCGGGGTGTGTGGCCACCGGGGTGCTGGAGCTGATCTTGGAGGTCAGGAGCCAGGGGACAGGATGGCCCCACAGAGAACTGTGCAGCTGTCCCTGAAGAAGCCCACCTATGCTGTGTGCGTGGTGGGAGTTGAGACACTTGTGGATATTCACAGGTGAGAGCTGGGAGACACCCACCTGGCTGCAGAGAGCTGGACTAGCATGGAAGACCCCGAGGCAGTGGGGTGGGGGCCTGGTGGACAGCTTGGGCACATTGGAGGATGCTGGCAGGAAGTTGTTTTGACAGCCAAGAAGGTGCAGTTGGCTGCAGAGCCTGGGAGGGAGAGACTAGGGTCTGGTCAGTCACCCTGGTCATCCTGGGACTCTGGCTCCTGGGCTTCAGGGTCAGGACATTGTCAAGCCCTTGGATAAGAAAGAGTCTGGCCTCAGGATTCTAACTCTGAGCCCTGGGGCCAGGCTTTGGGGTTCGGGCTCTGGATCCTGACCTCTGAGCAGAACTTGTGTGTAACAGCAGAACAAATTGTTGGTCAAGATGAAGAAAGGTCTTTGCCTCCCCTCCCTCAATTTCTTGCCCACCCCCCATCTCTCTGAGGTGGAGAGATGTGTGTGGCAGCTTGGTCCTTGGAGGCCAGCCAGCAGCTAGGGTGATTGGGATCAGGAGGGAGTGGTTAGGGGATGACTCAACGAGTTAAAATTAAGAAGAGAACCTGGAGCAAGGCCTGGGTCTTGTGTTTGCCATGAGATGATGATGTTGATGGTGATGATGATAATGATGATGATGGCAGTGAGGGTGGCCGTGATGGGTGGCAATGATGGCATCTGAGAGGGCAGCAGTAGCATCAGCTTCTCCTGTTGGCCCAAATCCTTCCTGTCCTGGCTCTGCCCAGGTGGGGACCCATGGACTTGGCCTAGCCTCAGTTTCCCCACCTGGTCACTGAAGGAGTTGGACTTGGTGATCTTGGGGGGCATTTCCATCTCTGACAGACTGTCTATGGACTCCACCCCTGCTGGACCGGGTGGTGCTGGACTGCTGCAGATGGGGTGCCCAGGGTGGGAGTTCCCTTCAAAGAGGAGTTGGAAAAAGGGGGGCTGCTATGAGGTGGGATCTGAGCTCCCACCACCCTGTTGGGTCTCAGCCCCTGTGCTTGCCCAGGCTGGTTACTGTATGCTAAACCCAGCTGCCCACCTGGCCTCAGGTGATCCTCTGCCCCAGAGGCCCTCCCTTCTGCTCTCTTGGGCAGTAGTCTGGGCTCCAGTGGCATGGCAGGACAGGAAGAGCCAGGAGCCCTGGAGGCCAGACCTTGACTCTGAATCTCTGCTGGGAACCTGAAGTGGGGTTTGGTTCTCTTGGATCTAGGTGGCCAGTGGATACCCAATTTTCTCCTGCCCTTTTAACATAGAGTTGCCAGACTTAGCAAATAAAAATACAGGATGCCCAATTAAGTTTGAATTTCAGATAAACAAACCATTTTTTTTAGTATATTGCATGGGACATGCTTATATTTTAAAAATCTGCCATTTAGCTGAAATTCAAATTTAACCAGCCATCCTATATTTTATGTGGCAATTATACTTTAACACCGAGATCAGAGAAGAAGCCCCTAGTGGGCCCCCTTCCTGTTTCCAGGCCCCTGCTCTCATCCAACGGCATGATTAAGGCCGGAAGCATTTGATGGGGAGCCAGGAGACCTGGGTCTGGTGTTAGCTCTGCTGTTGACTTAGTGCCCAGTGGGAGCCAAGTCACTGGCCCTCTCTGGGCTTCATTTCCTCATCTGAGCCCTGACGAGTTGAGCCGAATCCCTTCTACAGTTCCCCGTAGAGGTAAAGTGCCCAGATCTTAGAGCTGGACAGATGGGTTTTCATGCTGGCTCTGTCTGTGGCTGTGTGACCTGAGGCAAGCTGCTGCCCTTCTGAGCCTGAGTTTCTGCACCTGACAAATGGGGAAACGAGAACACCCACCTTAATGGGTCTGGGGGGAGGATAAATGAGACCATGTATGTACTGAGCCCTTGCTCTGAGGGTGCCCTGACTGTGGGAGGTGCTCACATCTCTCAGCTCTGTGGGCTCCCTTTTCTCCTGTATCAGTTCTCCCCATCACATCTCAGAGGGTGGGAGGAGGAAAGCACAGACCTGGGCGTGTGTGCTGGGAGCATAGACAGTGCTGTCTGCAAAGCTCCTTTGGGAACACCAAGTGCCTTAGAATCCTTCAGTGCAGGCCCAGCCCAGCTGGGGGCAGGAGGAAGCTGCCGGGCTTCTTCCAGCTGCTGTCCTCTGGCTGATTCTGGGAGGGGGAGGCTGCTTTGGGGTCCTGAAGTGAGCACATGGGAGACCTCCACCCAGGAACCCTTCAGGAACTTTCATCCCAGGCATCTGTGGTGATGAGGTCTCTAAACTAGAACACAGAAGTTTACTCTGCAACAGTGACAGACAACTTCCTGCTGGCGAGGTCTGCAAAAGGCAGAGGAAGGGGGGCATGGAATTGTCAAGCTGGGGAGGTTTTTTTTTTTGTCTTTTTCCGTGTCCGGCAACGGATCGCAACCCTCGGTGTCGCCCCCGCGCCTCGCTCAGCCAGTGAGCGGGAACCGGTCTGTATGTGGGATCCGAACCCTCGGCGGGAGCGCCGCCGCACTTCCCAAGCGGCACACTAGCGCAGTGTGCCACCGGGCCGGCCCTGGGGAGGTTTTTAAGAGGAGCCTGTAGCTCACTCCAGGGGCTAAGCGGGCCGGGAGGAAAGGCTACCCCTGATGATAAAGGATAAACTTGGGGCTCCACAGCTGAGGCCAAGCAAGGGGTTTCTTGCTGGTAGGAGCGGGAAGCCCTCCAGAAGACGAGGTGTGCCAGTCACCTGAGCTACCCAGAGTTGGAGCCCTCCAGGAGATGGGTGTGTAGTGGTGAATCATGGGAAGTGATTAATGCCCCTAGGGGCTGCATGGACTGGTTATTTGGAGAAATATTTGTGTTTGGGGTAATTGTGTGCCTCAGGGTGTCTCAGCCTGAGGAAGCCTTAGGAATCCCCCAATTCAGCATGTACTGCAGATCCTACCCTTACACCCAGTGGGCTAGCTTACTACCCTGACCCTCGTACCTCCGTGGGCTAGCTCACCATCCTGACTCCCACAGCGCAGTGGGTCAGATCACCACCCCGACCCCTATACCCCAGCGGGCTAGCTCACCACTCTGACTCGCTGGAACTGGCCAGACTTCCCTGGCTGTTCCTGTCTTTGCCTGGGGACTTGAGGTGGCTCCCATGCCGATATGGGAGGGCTCATGCCAACAGAAAGGGGGTGGGCAGCATGGGGAATCCATTAGTGGTCCAGCACAGCCCTCCTTGTCTTCAGAGGCCAGAATCAGAGTCCCATGCTGGAGGCCATAATGAACATTTATTCTTCGGGATGGAGAAGGCTGGCTGGGCAGGGGACGGGGACCTTCTCCTGGACTTTTCTCCAGCCTTCCCCACCCATTTTGCTTTAAAGCCTTAAAGCAAAAGAGCCTCTTCAGATGAGAGAGTGGTAGCATTTGAGGAGTACAGGGAGGAGGGATGCTGTGGGCCTCTCACATGCATTTTCTGGGGTTCCCTGTATTTCAGAAAATGAACACGCCAAAACAGAGCTATACACCTTGTGGTATACTTAATGTTGGCACTGAGTCAACGAGTGCTTTTAACTTTGCAGAAGAACAATGGAGCATAATTGTGCTCCTCTCAGGTAATTACAGGATTGGTGCGACAGTAGCTCACAGCGGCTGCCAGGCTGTGGGCGCCAGGCTGGGACACCTGTCCCTCCTTGCTTGTCACCATGGCAGCAGGACACCCTTAATTGGAAGTGACATGAAAAGTTTGAGAGTTCCTAGAGAATATGAGGCTGGGTTCCTCCGTCATGGGGGCCCTGACAGGCCCAGCAGTTGTAGGATCCGGACTTGGAACGCTGGAGTGCGGGCATTCTCAAAACGTTAAATAGTGGCAGCAGGAAGGGTCTTGGCCACCCCTCAGTTCTACTGACATCCCTGCTTTCTTGGGTCCCTGCTGCCACCTGCCGTTCTGAGACTGGCTCGGAATCCCTCCCCGTGACCCCGGACCCCTCGGGCCCCCACTTTCTACCTCTCTGCCACTTCCTGTCATCTCTTGGGTTCCAGTTCTGGAATCTCCCCTCATTCTGCACCTTCTCCTCTCCCCTTCTCAGCTCCTGTCACTTTCAACCTCCAGGCCCTCTTCTCTTCCCTGGTCCCCACCCTTCCCTCTCGGTGGGCAAGGGGCTGGCAGGGGCTGGGAGCAGCCAAGATAAGCCCAATGCAGGGCCTGTTCTGAGCCGGTGGACCTTGAGAGACGATTCCAGATGCAAGGAATCGTGTTGGGGGGGTGTTCACTTGTGATGTTGTAGATTCCTCCTTGACCCTCCAAAATGCTTTCCTTTCAAGCCGTTGTCCTCTCCTTTGCTCTGTTCAGAGAAGCTTCACCCTCTTCTCTGTGGTTCTAAGCAGCTACTCAGCTCCACCAAGTGGTCCCGTCCCTTGAGGGGGCAGGAGGTGAGATGTGGGGCTGGAAGGAACTGGAAAATTCACACCCAGCTGAAGACAGCAGCCACCTGGGGAGGCCCAAGACGTGGTGAGCTTTAGCTATGAGATGGAGAGGCCAGGGGATTTCAAATGCTTCCATCCAGGTGGGCACCCAGGCCCTCGGGGCTGGTGCTGAGGAAGTTGGGACCTGCAGGGTCTTGGCTGGAGCCTTCCCTCTCAGGTGGTACAGACCTATAAAAACGGGACCTCCAGATGTGCCCTGAGCCCCAGAACAGAGAACCCCATCACCCTGCATTTGAGTCCAAGGCCACCTGAAGCCCTGCCAAGGGCTTCTCCATCATGGCTTCCCAGCCACACTTATGACCCTGGCTGCCCCCACCTGGGTCCCAGGCATCATGCTGGGATAGGTGGGCAGAGTGAAGGTCAAAAACTCCACAGTGGGATCCTGCAGAGGGTGCAGCTGGTGTGGTCTGAGCCAGGCTGGGTGCCAAGGCTGCTGGACATAGGGAAGAGTGGGCTGGGGCTTCTGGACTTGAGGAGAAGGAGGGCTGTGCCCCCCAACCCAGAGGCACCCTCTTGACTGGGCTCCATAGAAGGAAGCCCCACAGGGGTGGGGCCATTTGAGAGCCAAGTCAGTGACTGC